ATTTTTTCACTACATAATACAATCCGGTTTTTAATGATTGTATTAAAGCTTGTATCTGTATGTTTTAGAGGGCTGTATGAGCACAGAAAGATGTGAGAGTACATACAAGTCGGTGGTTCTACAACTTTAATGTATATCAGAATTACCTTATTTCATGTTAAAATGCAAATTACTGGGCCCCAGCCTCCGAGCATCTAATTCAGTATATCTGGGATAAGGTTTGAGAATTTGTATTTCCAACAAATTCCCAGGGGATCTAATGCTGCTGAGAACTGCACTAAGTTTCAATAAGAGTTATGAGAGAGGATGGAAAGGGAAGTATGCAATGAGGGGGAAGGAATAATGGGTTCTTTCCAGGATAACAAAGACAGCTTTTCCATGTGATTTCTTTCATGGAACATAGGGTATGTGTGTACATTTACACAAGCAAATTCCTGAAAAGATTGTCACCAACACTAATAAAAGTTCTTTCAAAGGTAGAATTTCAAGTGATCTTTACTTTCTTCTTGATAATTTTAGTTTTGTTTTTTCTTTTGATGAGCGAGTGTTAAATAGTTATTTAAAATAAACCTGTTTTTATTGAGAGGGAAAGAAAATTTTGGAACCAACAATTTCTCAAGGAAGAGCTCCTCTGTTATTCATAGCCCCAAACTGGTATTTTGGAACGATTACTACTAATTATACTTTATATAAAAATTAAAATATGATTAATATGAAAAAAGTTCTTAGATGACTAAATATTACATGTATTTCTTTTACAACCTTCCTTAACCTAAAAAATTTAGAGAAAATTTAATCTTAAAGCTAATCAAAAACATTCAGTGAAAACACGATCTGGCTTGTGAATACAAAATGTCTTTCTCTTTCAAAATTCAATCTAACACCCAGTAAGCAAAGTCTCTCCTTTCGAACTGTATTTACATCATTTCCTCTTTATGTACAAACTAGAAAACTAGACAAAGAACAAAATAACTTCATTATTTCCAATATAGGACTTTCAAGCTTCCAAGTTGCATCAAAGAGTTTTAAGCTAGAAAATAAACATCAGTTATACAAATTACCAGTTATACTAATTTTTATATACACTTTTCCACGCTTTCCCATTTCTCATTAGCTTCATCAATACAAGTCTTTGCTAGCTTAACATAATCCTCCTCCTAAAACCATGTTACCATTCAATCTAAAAATTAAACCTACACCTCAAACCAGACTGCATACCTCTGCTATTTTTTCCATTGATAACAGATAGCCTGGCCTTCCGGAACTGCTCTTTTAGTGCCTGCTTAAAGCACTGATGCAGGAAGCTGCTCTGAGGCTGAAAACTGGATTTGCAATGCTCACATCCCTAAGATCTGCAAATCGATATTATAAAATTCTTGGCTCGCAGTCTTGCCAACCCCCACTTCTTCTCTAACCCTGTTATAGCACAGTGTTTCTCTTTTTCTGTGATACCAACTCAGTTGACCTCCATGGTTCATTTTAAAAATTAGAATGAGTCTGAGGCTGAGTTCAGGAATATCCTTGATCTCCAATACTAAGATTGTCTCCTGGTTAAAAATAAGCAAACAAAATATTGCACCCCCACCCCCACAAAAAAAAAAGGTGGAAAAAAAAAAAGATGGCTGCCCAAAAACAGCCATAAAGTTCTATAGCACAAACGGAATCAAATTACTCCCTCTGAAAAAGATTCCTGAGTCACAGGAAAAAAAAATTAAGTTCTTTGTGCTCACAAGACATAGATGATTATTAAACTATATGGGTATAAGAAGAAAGAGGCCAAGGTTTGAAAACACTACATAGAAACTAAGAAAAAGTAATGACATCTAAAACCATGCTTGCAAACATTTAAAAAAAAAAGTGACATTATAGAAAATGTAAGTAGAAAATAAAGAAAATATGCTTCTAGAATTCAGAACCAAAAAAAAGGACTAAACAGTCTAACCCTAGAATAATAGCACGTTTTCTAGAAGGATAAAACAATAATGAAAGGCAAAAAAAGAAAACTTTGAAAAAAAAGCTAAAAATGTTCATGGATTCAAACAAACATCCATAGATTTTTCTACAGGTATAGAGACATCTTTCTGCCATCTTTAGGAAGGATTCTCTATAGTGACCCCAAAAAATAGTAAGACGTTTGAAGAATGAATTCTTACATCAAAGCACACTAAAATCAAAGGAACAAAAACATCACCTACAAGACCAACCTGAATGAGATGGCCTTTTGTGAAGGGTGGGTAGACGTTGGAGAATAATTTCTATCCATTTTTTTCCTCAATGATTATTACTCTATTTGTGATCTAATTCTCCTTGAGAAAAATCTTGTAATTTATACATTTTAAAGACTGTTAGAGATTTTTCCATTACATTAGCATACAATTATACTTAGCATTAATTTATAACTTTAAGATATCATCTCAATATGTTAGACTCCTTACAACTTCTAGTTTTGTTTGGGTTTTATCTTAATTATATACTTTTCAGAGTTATTTTACTTTTCCAAATAAGCAGTCATAATAACTAAATGTTTTGCTTGCTAGAAGTATATAAAAGCATCAAAATTAAGACATCCAATCTATCACAATTAAATGAGAAGACACATCTAAGTAAATGCCAAAAGAACGATAAAATTCAACACAAATATAGATAAAACTCTAGAAAAAATACCGAATTGTCAACAATGCTTATTACTGATGATGGAATTAAACATGATTTTAGTTTTTACTTATCTTTTATAATATAGGTGAAATATACACATTTTAAAAATTAAAGATTTATAAGCCAGATTGTAGTAAACTAAGAGAAACTAGAAGCGAATATTCATCAAGCCTCTGAAGACAGAAAGGCAGAGAGGAGGCCGGCCCAAGACACAAAAAACAAGTAGAACAGTTCTATGTCTGCTCAGTTTACACGTTACTCATTTGGTGGGATTTAGTTTGAGACTTGTTTTTGTTGCAATATACCCACTCTGACCTCTTGGCGCATGCGCCCTGGTGGTTAAATTGGCTTAGGTCAGTTCGCAATAATACTGACAAAATGTTACATGAAAAAAGCAGGTTACAACCCATATACACACACACACACAATCACATATATATGTATCCATATATATACACACACACATATATATGGATACATATGTGTATATATAGTAAGAGTCAATTGTGTTAAATATATCTAATGTATTTCATCTAACCCGACAGCTGTTATGCCTTTTATGTTCCACTTAAAGAAAAAACTGCCAATCATAAAATGTTAGAATTCTACAGCTTTTATCTATATCATGCTACTGTTTCTGTGTCTTTCCCTATACATAGTAACTTTGTCTTTCAATGCCAAATATTGGAGAGATCGCATTGAAAGCAATTCATGTGACACCAGCAAGGTGCGTAACCTGAAATGACAACAGTATGAAGCACTGTGACCCCAGTCACACATTTAGGTAATAGGAGCACATCTGCCAGAATGCAGTGAATGGAAGAGCATCTCAGTTTCAGAGATGTTAAAGTGGGGAAGAGAAAATTGTACCTTAGAATTGATAAAATATATTAATACTTTAATATAACATCTATAGGAGATGAGATTGTGAGCAACATTTTCTCAACACTTTTCTGTATTTTTCATCTTATTCTAACTGGCATGTATTCGATAATTAGAAGAAACAAGTTTTTTTGCTTCTTAGGTCTGTTTAAGTCTCTTCTTTCCTTTGGCAAGATGCATTGACTCTTCCCTAGCCTGGTGATAATCTTGAAGGTATGAGTTCAAAATAGTTACACCAGGACCTTGATCAATTACAAGGTTTTATATCATAATTAGATTTGTAGATTTATTGGTTTTAAGCAGAGGAGCTGGGCAGAATGGAGCTAAGGAAGAGGAAGTTACCAAAAAATAAAAATAAAAGACAGATTTGGGAGTACTTGACAATTTAGCCTTGGACCAGACTTTTATCTTTAATTATGGCTAGGCCAAGTCCTACTGTCAACAGATACATTTTATGACCTGCAAACAGAACCTAGAGTACTACAGACAAGTGGGTAATGCAGGAAGCAGATCTTATTCTGAAATACATTAATTTTATTATTTTGTCTTTCTCCAGAGAATAGTGAGGTATGAGTAAGATGGAGAAGGAGAGGAAGCAAGGAGGGATGGAGGGAGGGAGGGCTTCCTAATAGTGAGGCATGGTAAGAGGAAATGGATGCATATATTTTAATTGATTGAGGATTTTTATTAAATTTGTTCTAGTTCCTTGATATTTCATCCCATTAAGGATAAATCTGCATTAAGTTCATATCCTTATTCAAAATGCAGTACTATGCAGTACTCTTGCTGAGCTCCATGAGATGACTGACAAGTCAAAGGTCACCTGAAACCACAGTTCCCACACACACATCCAAGCCCAGCCCACCCCATCCCCACACAGCCAGGTTTCAAGGAAAGTGGTTCTGCCTGAAGGAATTGAAGCCATCATTTGATACATGCAAGGAGACAATCATTTGCTTCCCTGTAACACCCACTGTTCTGAAGAACTAAATTTCCCTCAGCCCAGAAGGCACATCTAACTAGGACTCACTGGGCATCTGTCACCTAATCCCCCACTTATTCCATACATGTCCCTGCACTTTTCTCTTTGCATTCTTATGTCACAATTGCAGCTGACACAGTTATCATTGAACCTTCCCCCAAAAAGATACCCACAGAAAACATTATCAGAATATAAAAAATGATTGAAAAATCATCCATAGGAGTGAACTATTTCTGAGTACAGAAGTTATACAGTTAAAAATGTTACTCAGATAAATATAATTAAAATTCAAGGTTTGGAATCAAGAGACAACCAGTTTTAAAAGGCTCCGTGCACATCTTGAACTAGAATGGTAACTCTGTGTTGCTTTTAAAAAGCCTCAGCCCAAGGGTACACAAAACCCTTCTCCCCACTTCAGCCGCCCTGGGTTGAATCTCAGCACAGGCCACTCAGACCTGAAGGCCAGTGCTTAGGAACTTACATAAAGAGGTACTTTGCTGCAGCTCAACTCCATGGCTTCTGCATCTGCAATGAAAATAAATAAGAGCAGTTATTACAGAAGGCCCCACGTACCCCACCAGCAGAGCTGCATCCTGCCCTTTCAGTTATCAGGTCAAGGGATAAGTAACTCATTAGATAAGGAGGTTGTAGAGAGAACTGCAAAATACAGAAAAGAGAAGCTCTCTGTATAAAATATAGCTGTATGAGAGACAGCTCCCCCTTTCTTCTCCCATGTTAATTTCCACACATAAGGAAAACCCATCATTCCACAGATGCTCCCAGAATAAAAGTTACATTTCAGAAAACCAAGAAACAGCAACACAGCTGGCTTAAAGTTTTGCTTTAATCCCTTGGATCTTGGGCTACTCTGAGGTCAGGATCCACTTTGGGCCCAATGAGACAGGGGCCCTCAGTGATAAGATAGTTCTGTTACCTCTCCTACAGAGGGGGCCAAAGATCTCAGTTGCATATCACACTGGGAAAAGGAAGCCCGCCATTACCAACCTCTCCAACCAGCTGTACGCATCCCATCAACCTCTGGGTACGCCTCCTCCTCTAACACCTACATCCAGAAGGCTGTTTCCACCTATTCTAAGGAGCCAGCATCATTCCATTAAAAAGGGTTCACTGAACACCAACAGGCATTACACAGAGATGACGAGAAGCAGTCCAGCCCTCAAGGAGCTCAGCTGAAAAAGACCTAAAGAGTGGCAGGAAGTACAAAGCGGGCTGCACAGAATTCTGAATGGGGCAGACGGGGACACTGACCACTCCTGCACTTCCCCAAGGCCACCCCGCATCCTCTGGAACAGGGTTCTGCTCACCAGGCCAAGCCTGGCTCTGGTTCCCAGGTCGCATTCCAGTTGCAGTACTCTGGGGACATCTCCAGAGTAGGCCAGCACATGGCAGCCTGAACTGCGACATTTAGTACAATTATCCCCAGAGGATACACTTGAAGGGAGGAAGACACATAAAAAGTTCTACTTGTAATAAATTTAAGTCTTACTAATACTTCATACACATGCTGGCACTGGCACCTGCCTAGGTCACAGTTATACTCCCCGAGTCATCCTTAGAGAAGAGCGAGGGTCTGACAGATCCTCATTTTCAGCACATTGTGCCCTGTGGCAATTTGTGTGAACCATCCTGAATGGGCTATGGATTATAATCAGTTTTTAATGAAACTAACCTCACATACTGGATGAATGGTTTAAGGTTTGTATGAAAGTTCAAATTAAATACTAACAATATGACAAAACTGAGACTCCTGTTCCTAAAATGATTTGTTCATCAGCCACACTATGAAACAGTGATCAATCAAAGGATGTGAAGAAATGGGAACCCTCCTACACTGTTGGCGGGAATGTAAATTGGGGCAGCCACTGTGGAGAGCAGTATGGAGGTTCCTCAAAAAACTAAAAATAGAAATACCATATGAACCAGTAATTCCACTTCTAGGAATTTACTCAAAGAAAACAAAATCCCTGATTTGAAAAGATATATACACCCCTATGTTCATTGCAGCATTATTTGCAATAGCCAAGATATGGAAGCACCAAAAATGTCCATCAACAGATGACTGGATAAAGATGATGTTGTACACCTACACAATGGAATATTAAGCAGCCATAAAAAAAGAAAGCCTGCCATTTGCAATAACAAGGATGGATCTAGAGGGTATTATTATGCTCAGTGAAATAAGCCAGGAGGAGAAAAGCAAATACCATATGATTTCATTTATCTGTGAAATCTAAAAACAAAATAAAATGAACAAAATAGCAGTAGACTCAGACACTGAGAAGTAACTGGTGGTTATTACAGGGGAGATATTGGGGTGGGCAGTCAGGAGGACAAGGGGACAAAGAGGCACAAAATTTCTCAATCATAAGTTGGTACAGCATGGAGAATGTAGCCAGTGATTCTGTAACATCTTCCTATGCTGACAGATAGTAACTGCACTAATGAGGGTGAGGATTTAATAATGTGGGTAATTGCTGAACCACTGTCTTACATACTCAAAACCAATGTAAGATTGTATATCAACTATACTTCAATAAAAATTAATTTTTAAGTGATCAAGAGCACTGACATGTAGATCTCCCCCATTCAAAGTTCAAGATGGCATTTAAAATATGAATATATATCTGCCAGCATACACTATAACCCCTCACCTTAAATGTACACTATACCCCAAGATAAGCAATTTTTCACATGTTTACAGTCACACCACATATAATTCCAATTCTTTATAAAATTTCACTAATCCTTGATAAAATTAGAAGATCCTTTCAATATTTCTACTTAATAGCAAAAGAAATGCATTGGTTTAAAACAAAAGCTGAAAAATACAGATTATAAAGCAACAAACTAAAATGCATTCCTTTATGAGCAAAATTTTGAAGACCTGAGTATTTTAGGAAGTATCTTAGAACAAATTAAGCTTTGTGGGAGGTATGCATACACTTATGAAAGTACAGATGTTTTCCACTACTCAACTTGTGGTATTTGTTAAATTTTTATCTGATAAAATATATCAAACAGAAACTACTTTTGATGAGAATATAAAGACATATTTTGGAGAATGAATTCAATTTTTAAAAAATGTCCTGTAGGAAAACTGTTCGATTAATACCACTGATAAGCATCTTACCCAAGCAGCTGCCCTCAGAAGCATCGTTAGTGAAATTCATTCACTGTGTCATTCATGAGCAACTCGAAGGAAGAACGTGACACTGACAGTACAGAGTCTCACAGTACATCAATGTGGTTGACTCTTTAGAAATACAAATCTCAAACATGGTCAGATTTTTACAATTTCTGTAAAGAGATGGGAAAGTGACCATAAAAATCTTTACCTTATTGAGGTGTGTTGGTTGTATTGCATGTAGCAAAGTACTTTAAAAAGTTATCACAATAATGTGGGGGGAGGGGGGCACAGGAAGGACTGTACAACACAGAGAAGACAAGTAGTGATTCTACAGCATCTTACTACACTGATGGACATTGACTGTAATGGCGGGGGGGGACTTGGTGATGGGGGAAGTCTAGTAACCATAACGTCACTCATGTAATTGTAGATTAATGATGCCAAAATTTAAAAAATAAATAAAAATTAAAAAGTTGTCACAAAATACCATTTAATTTTCTCTTCCAAAAACAGAGTGTTCCAAACTTGCTGGTTTTTCTGAGATGAAAAGTGGCTATTTATAACAGGTGTTTTTTTAAATAACATTTTTCCAAATAGCCTGGTCCTTCAAGAAACGAGTGATATTTTAATAAGTGAAAAAGAAAATCTCTCTCAAAGGAAGCTCAGTCTGTGCCATCATAAGAATATTTTCAAAAAGTAGTTGCACATTTCCATTCTTTTTGTTCTGTGGGCCTTACAGAAATTTGAAGTTTGCCACCTACAAAAAGTTCTCATACCTGCAAACTTTTTATTTTTGAGAAAGCTTTTTAATCAGATTTTTGAATCTTTCAAAATGAATGTTTCATGGGTTTTGTGTTTTTAAAATGCAACAACTTCTGATTAATTTGCAGGAAGACTGACATCAGGGGAGATAGGAGTTTACCAGGTCACATGCAAACAAGAAACTTTTGGGTAATTAGTGGGTGGGACTGAAACATAAATCCCCTCATTTGTAAGCATAGCTTGCACTGGACTCCCATTAGAATCTACGTATAATAGTGAGGTATCTTTTTCAGCTATGACACGCTTTAAAACCAGTTTCACCGTAAACAGAGCTTTAAAACAGACCTTCAAACTGAAGCATTACCAGGCATTAAAAATTATTAAACTGAGGTTTTCAAAATGACACATATTCATCATATTACTCACTGGTCTGTACTATAAATCAATGTTTTTAATGAGAACAAAAAGGGTTATTAATTTAAACATTTTACAATAATGTTTAATCTTATAGCATTTTAAATTTGGGGGTATGTTTTAAAACATATATTGTTATAGTAGTATGATTTATAAATAATTACATAAAATAAGAACACATGCTCTTCACTTAAGGAAGAGAGAGGACAGTATTTTGAAGGTCTGCTCCTACAAAGTAACTCTTGTACCCTACTTGTTGGGCCCTACATGCTTTTCCAAAAACTTCTCTGCCAGGCTCAGTAGCCCGGGGCACTGCCTGTGGAGTATGGTGAGCTGGCCAGAGCCCATGTGGTCCTGGGTTTATACGGGAGAAGGTGCACGTGAGCTGGATCACAGTGCAGAATCCGATGTCACACCACTTTCTAAAGGATCCAGGTTCTCCACACTTCATCAGTATGAGGCCAACTGCATCAAATGACGGCCTCAAACTTGGATTATATGAACTCAGCCAAAAGGGAGAAACATCAAGGGCTAGAAAGCATGTCATTCATATTTCACCTTATATTAAAAGCTCACTCCATTATTCCTGCCTACGCAACTTCATGCCATTTTTAATACAAAAACATAAAAACCATTTTGAACAGCCATTCGTTTTTCAGAGTATCTACATTTCACTCCTTGAAAAACTAAAACCCTCACAGTTCTCAGCCTGAGTCCCAGGGCTTCTAAAACCCCTATCAGAATCTCCTATTTGGGATATAGAAGAATTAGGGGCAAATAGATTATATACTCAATAAAATAAATCAAACTTCAAGCTGAAATAGATACTGTACTCTCATTTGGATTTTCCCTAATTTTTTTATAGTTAAAAAAAAAAAAGCTGTAGGTTCTGTGCTCACTTGCAGAATAGCACAGCTAAACCAGGCCATGCTTCCTTTTACATCAGGTTTAATAAAACAAGTTTGTATTTGCTAGGCAAGTTCAACTGCCTGAGTTCGCATGTTGTAGCTTTTCACTGTACAAATGTCATGCTCTACACTAATTTCCCAGCGTTTGAGTTCTCCACCTGCAATTTCAAAAACTCATACTCAAGTTTTTTCTTAAGGTACTGTATTTTTCAAAAATGTTTCTTAGAAAAGTAAAAGCCAAAATATTTCCAGTCTTGCTGACAGACACAAGGATGATTTGGGGTCTTAGCACA